TTGATGCTTAGTTATCCAATGACTGGGGGGGTGGCATGGACCCTCTTATGAACACTGTCAGGTCTTATGTTGTTCATGCAGGGTGTCCACTATCTCATAAATCTGAACGTGATGCGGTCCCATCTTTGGTTCTTGAAGTGACAGTGTTCCACATCCTCTCCATAATTCCATGGGTAAGCAGAATTCTCCTTGCCCACTTGGTGGGGGAATAAAGTCAACTGTTTGTAAATCCAGACTCGATGAGTTCTGGGCTTTGGTGGAGTATGGCATATGATCCTGTCAATCCAGACCTGAGATATTGCCTTTTGGACTCTTCAGGTTGATCAGAAGGACTGTCCACTTTGGTGCTGCTTTCATTCGTAAATCCAGTGGTTTGAAATGCATCATTCTGTGGTTACTGGTAGGGATCCTATCACAAAGATATATATATCTGTGGTCCAACTTCCCTGCTCACCAACGTGGGATATGGGTACCATGACTCCTTAAATCCAACCCGAGTTGTGGAACCTTGACTGTTTGGTTGGGGCTGGACCATCATACTTGTATTATATTCCATCCTTTTCAGTTTTCTGTAGTTCGAGTTAAGAGGATATCTGTTTTGGATGTAGTGTGGTGTTCCCCACTTTGATACCACTTCTACTGGTACATATTTGTTCTCTGCAGATGCTTTCTGTATGATCTCTGTCTTCACTGGCCCCTCTGCCTTCTCAGTGTGGGATTCTAGCTGTTAGTGTCAGCAGAGGTATGTATGTTTTGGAAGTTATCATCTTCCTAAACTGAAAATGTATTTCCAAATATACTTGCCTCTGCTGACACTCTCCCTCCCTTCCTCCCCACTAAGAGCCAGTGTTAGTGACTGGAAGGAGATAAGTCTAAAAAAAGTGATTTTATTGTCTGCATACAGTGCTTATATACAGCACCTGCATAGAGGCCGTGTGAGGGACGGTATAAAGTTTTGAAAATTAAATATTGCCAAGGACAGTCGAGTGGGGTATATAAAAACTGGAGCAAGCAAACACAATGTTAGATGGAAAAGATGAAGACTGAAAAATAGCTATTAGAGTCAGTGGAGGTAAGTTTGTTTAAAAATACATTTTCAGTTCAGGAAAATGATAACTTCCTTCTTGATTTCTTGTTTCCCACAATCTTGTGAGTTCACTCCTTTTCCTTGGTCTCATGAACACTTCATGTCTCTCTTTCCCATTTTTCATCTCTCTGTTGCTTCTTGTCATCTCCCTCTTGTCCTGTTGGCTTAGGCTCCATAGGGTCACATCTGTTTCTGGTTTAAGACCATTGTACCCCTTTTGCAGCTGACCAGTGGATCATTCAGGTTATTACGTATAGCTGTTCTTTCCAGTTCTTGCTTCTTTTTCCTCTTTCCTGTTCCTTTTTCTTCCTTTTGACCTGTAGCATTTACTGTACCCGAAGGCCATAGTATTGGATATTTTGGGCATGAGAGCTATTGAGAGGACCTTTTGAGCCTCTCCAGGGATTTATTCTTGTCTGAGGACTAGCATCCTCTCATCAACATTTCCTCTCTGGTTGTTCCTCAGTTCAAAATGGAGGGGTTTCTTCCTCTTCACTGGCCCTTTCCCCTGGATTATGGATGACCAAAGCCAGTGTCTTGGACACCTTTCCACATAGTTAAATTGTCCAGTCCTCCTGTTGTTTCTTTCATTTTGTTCGCCAGTATCAAGTGTGCCAGGTTTAAGCTCATCCCTTCAGTATTGCTTTGGTTTCTTACGTTTTCAACCAAGTCATGGGAGCATTTGCTTGCCTCATACACAATTTTTGGACTTCTTTTCCATTATATAGCTATGTCACTTCTACAAGAGGTGGCTCATCTGGATTGGCTGGTCAAGTTTCTCAAGTCATTCCTGACTCCGGGTTAATATTTGGTCACTTTGGAATCTTTTTCAATTCTTGAC